AACACCTATGAATTTTAGTGGATAGTGAGGAATCCTATTTCGTACACAGCATAATTGTGCAGATATATTCAGTACAAGATTGAATATGATAAAAAAAAGAGAACTTTTCCTTTCATGTTTCACTTGGCAGAATAAAACTATTGCAATTAACAAAATATAATATTGGCAGAGGCATTAAATATATATATCTCAAGAAATAAATCATATTTCCAAAATACTCTAAAAAATGAAGAATTTGACAGTCACAACTTTTTTATCAGAAAATAACTGATTATACCATAAATGAAATTACATCTATGGTCCCATCACATATAAACTTCGCAGTTTAAAAATGCTTCTGTTCTGCCTGTGTCGAGATTAATTTGACATGTTCCTAAATATGAATGATTACTATTAAGAGAGTCAGAAGAGAGTTCAGAATGTAAGGGCCCTGTAAAAACGTAGAACTGATATCAATAAAAGTGCTGAAAAACTTATTTCCTAAAAAAAAAAAAAAGTACAGCAGTACAAATATCAGCGACAGTTAAAAGCTGTATGAGGAAAATATGCAGTGCCATGTTGGGTCTCACAGATTGCAGGTTATACCCCATGCCCATGACTTTGATAGCTTCCTCTGTAAATAAATATTTGCTTGCCAACTTCATGCATGTGTCTCATTCAATTCTCATAGTCTTAAGTTGGTGCCTTTTATTCTCAATATTCCTGCTCTTTGCCTCTGCTTTGCAGTCTGCGGCCTCTGAGCACCAGGTTCCCCACTCCTCTTCCCCAGTTTTGTGCTCTACTGTGTCCGTTCCTTCTACCTTAATTCTTGACAACCTTTGTCTTGTGTGCTTTGTCTGTTTGGTCCTAGTACCTTACCTATCTGTCACCAAAAGAGGAGATGCCCTGCCCACCGACTGCCCAGCCTAGTACACATGCAGATGGCTCATGGATCTGCTTTTCTATAAAGAGCCCAGAATGTAGCTAACACTGCTGCCACCTGCCCTTGGGACTACAAACTAGCTATGACAATTAGGAGTTCCCAGGAGGCACCACAGACTACCCTGAAGCAAGTCAAAATAATGTGCTAACATCCACCTTTTAATTATCTTGTTATCTTTATGATAGCTTCCAAATTTGCTTAACATGAATTCATTTGCACATTAATGGAGCTTAAGGTGATATTTCAACATGTGTTCATAGTGAGAACTGATCCACTAAGGGCAGTAAGCTCCTTCCTCTTATAATTGTTTGGATGCTTTAAAGCGCCTCTCTTATAGATATTCATAAAATATATAAAAATTATTTTATATCACAGTCATTCTACTATGCTATAACATTAGAACTTAATCTCCAGCTCTCTCTCTCTCTCCTTCCCAGCTTGTAGCTGCCATTACTCTGCATTTAAATTGGCCATATTCCATTGTAATCACTCTGATATTCAATGACTATTTTTTTAATTCATTCATTATTTTTATTTTCTTTATGTGTATGAGTGTATTGCCTACATGTATGTAAGTGCACCTGTATTGTGCAATGCCTATGGAGGTCAGAAGAGAGAGCTGGATTCTCCTGGAACTGGAGTTGTGGACAGTTGTTAGCCACAATGTAGGTGGTGGGACTTGAACCCAGGTTTTCTGCAAGGGCAGCCAGTGCTCTTAACAGCTGAGCCATCTCTCCAGCTTCTGTGGCTATTTATTTTCTTATGCCTTTATTTATCTAATTTTAATATATCTTATAAAGTTTATGGTGCATAAAGGGTTATAAACATGAGAGAAAATATTAAAAAGTAAATCACACATGCTAAGGATGACACTTGCATTGAGCTACAAGAGAACATGCTTCCACTTTGGATCTCAATTTCAGCCTCAGTTATGTCAAGGAGCTGTTCTTACCTCCGTTACGACAGCATGTGTTCTCCTTCTGCTTTCTCTGCACCTCATCAGAACCAGGATCTTTACCACAGTGGAGTTCAGGACATGTAGTATGAATTTGGTATATTGTTTTGAATTAAATAATCAATGATAACTACTTTATTAAGACAGTGATGCCCTTCCTCTTTGTACTCAGTTAATATTCATGTCTTATATGAAACTTTTCTATTCATTCATCTTTGTTGATAGGAACCAGGGGAAGGGATGAATTTGCATATGAACCTGAGCTTTACTTGGCATGTAATTTATGAAATTATTAATCTTTCTAGATACTTATTGTGGTAAGCTTTTGGGGACAATTTCTTTACCTGAACACCACTGAAGGCATACTGGAGTATGCGCAATGCTGTCTGCAGTCACGGATGTCTATGTGATGGCGAGGGTGTTGAGGCAGATAAAGGAACAGTGTTCTGGACCTCAGGCTGGATAAGAAAAGAGCACTCTAATCACAGGCACAAGTTACATCCTGCTTAGCTCGTTCCCTTCTTAGCAAACAAGTTCTCTGTTTTAAAATAGCATGTCAAGAGGTTTTGAGGAAGCTTTCACAAACTGCCCTGAGTAATGGTCTTTGTTCTATTTATGAAAGCTATGGCAATAAATACACAGTGAGACAAGAACTCGGGGCCTCTCTTTCCCCAGCAGACAGTCTCCTGGTACCCCACTTTTGAGATTCGAATCAAATGTTGTACCTTTTCCTTTTACCAGCTATGCAAAGTTGAATTCTAGTCAGAATAAGACTTAAATCAAATAGAGTAATTGAATATGATACATTGAAACCATACTTAGCAAAGATATGCATGGAAGCAGTTTACTGACGAGGGCAGTGTAGTGCATTTAAATAAGGTCAAGCACTTTTGTTTAGAGGTTTTAATTGTAGCTCTGAAACTTGCTAACTTTTAGAGAGGTAAATTTATTCCAAAACTCTCTGATCTTTAATTTATTCAGCTGTGAAAGAATGGAGGGTATTACTTAACTCACAAGGTTGATTATGAATGTATATAATAATATATTTTAAAAGAATGGTATAGTTTCCATACATATATTGTACTCATCAAATGTTAGGTTATGCTTAGAAGCTAGGTAGGCAGCAGGTGTGACTCAACTAGCATGGTTTCTCAGGTCAGAGTCTCGTAAAAGAGGGACAAAGGAGCAGCCAGAGAGGTATTGGGACCTGTTAGGCAGAAACAAGGAGAGCAACAGATAGAAGAAGGATTACTCTTTCTGCCCTGTCCTAATTCATCCCTGACATTCAGAGAGCCCCTTTGAGGGAGACTCTGTAGCCCAAGGCTGGGTGAAGAGGAATTGGTGTAGTTCTCTGACAGAGACAGGTTGTTTTTACAGATACCTATTACTGTCAGCCTCCAGGGCCAGGCCTGATGGATACGGTTTGTTCAAGCCTGGGAGCAGAGTTTGAAGCTTTGGCTGAGCTGCTGTCGGGGAACATTTTCATATTGATGCCATCACTCTTCTTCTATCCAGTACATTTGAATAATCAAGATCATTGCCTGTTGCCCGGTGACTGTATGAGGCTCCTTATAAAGGCCCCTCTTGGGAGATGGTTTAATCTCTGCTCTGTGATGCAATCCAAGAAACGTGGCAAGGTAAGAGGGCTGCCTTCATATTTGAAGGGACTGAAGGGGGAAGAGCTAAAGAGTAAGGGATGGAGGGAGAAAGGTAGAAGAAAAATACCTGGAATTCCTGGGAGATATGAGTAAGATGGTTAAAGAATTAGGGAAGTGAAATAGGGCCTGAAGGTAACTGAGACGCAGAGCCAGAGGTCGTGGGGTAAAATAACAGAAAGGAGAAAAGAAGATGGGAGTCAGAGCTCGCTTTTTGTGCTTGTGATTGTTTTGCAATTAATATTATTAACCTACTTGTTGTTCCAGATCTTGTATTACTAGCCAGTATTGAAAGACGTAAGACAAACAGGATCCAAATTTCAAGAAGCAAAACTCTCGAGACTGAAAGAGATGACTCTCGCATATGCAAATTTTCAGTATCAGTTTTGCCTTGTAATTAAGAATCAAATCCGATGCGCAAATACTGTGATAGAAAGATTTATCAACAAAAAGGAATTTTCAGATTAACATGTCCTCGAGTTGTTGGGGCATGTTCTAGATTGTACAAAAGAATAATGTAATACAGTGCTGATAAACGAACAAAAGTTAGTGGCTGGGAACTGCAGGGGATGGTTCTCTGTGGTCACTGATGCCAGAGATAGTCATGTTGGCCTTTGATTCATTAAGGAATAGACTTGAGTGGGTCTGAGCTGAGTCACTGCTTCCAGCTTCTTCTATGTGTATGGCACAATGTTACCTCCGGCCTGGTTGGTCAGATAGAGACTTGTGCCTGCAAATAGAGAGAACTAGCTCATTTTTAAATTTTGTTAGTGAGAAAGGGAAATATTATAAGGGGGTTATTTGGGCTCGTGGAGAACATAGGGAGATTGATAGACATAATTCACAAGCAGAAAGGCTTATTTTAGCTCATAGTTTCAGATCTTTCCATGTATGTTTACTTGACCGTATGCTTATATCTGTACATAGTGCTGAGGCAGTACATCACAGTAGAAACCTAAGACAAAGAGTTGTTCATTCAATGATAGCCATAAAGCAGAGGAAAACCAGGAAGAGGCAGGGACCAAAATGCAACCTGCAGAGACATGACTCCAGACATCAACTTCCTCCAAGTAGTGCCCATAAATGGATTAATCTATTCATAAGCTCAGAGAGTTCATGATCCAATCTCCTCTCAAAGGCTCACCTCTGAACACTGTTACACTGGGGACCAAAAGTTTAACACATGAATTTGGGGGATATTTACAGTTCAAAACACAATATCTGGTTATGATGTAGATAGTGGAGAACAGGAAAATGAGGCCAGGCTCTAGCAAGAACAGTCCAAAATATTCTAGTACTGTGATAGGCACAGATGCTAGATTGGGGGGTTTAATCCCTTCCCATTATGGAGCTAGGACGTCCTAAATAAAGAATGCAATTAGATAATTTAGGAAAGGTTTATGGAAATGTTGGGATTTACAGTAAGATTTCGGTGACAGATATTAACATAACTGCCTTTTCGTTTTTCAGGGCGTGTCTTCCACTTGCCATGTTGATCTTCAATAACACCACGTCCTCCTCCTCTATCTTCTTTCTCACTGCCTTTCCTGGGCTGGAACTTGCTCACGTCTGGATCTCCATTCCTGTCTGCGTTCTCTACACCATTGCCCTTTTGGGGAACAGCATGATTTTGTTTGTCATCGCCTCTGAGCGGAGCCTCCACAAGCCCATGTACTATTTCCTGTCCATGCTCTCCATGGTTGATCTAGGTCTGACCGTCACAACCCTTCCCACAGTCCTTGGTGTTCTCTGGTTTCATGCCCGGGAGATCAGCATTAAGGCTTGCTGCATTCAAATGTTCTTTGTACACGCTTTCTCCTTCCTTGAGTCTTCAGTGCTAGTGGCCATGGCCTTTGACCGCTACATAGCCATCTGCAGCCCTCTAAAGTATGCTACTTTCCTCACAAACGTGATGAGCCTGGTGATTGGACTTATCATCTGTATACGACAAGTGATTTTCCTGTTTCCCTCTATTTTGGCCGTGAACAATGTGTCTTTCCAGGGAGGCCATGAGCTTTCCCATCCATTTTGCTTCCATCCAGATATACTCAAATTCACACACTCCAACCCCTGGATCAGCAGCTTTTGGGGAATGTTTCTTCAGCTCTACCTGAACGGCACTGACTTATTGTTCATCCTTTTCTCCTATGTCCTGATTCTTCGTACTGTTCTGAGCATCGTGGCCCCTCAAAAGCAACAGAAAGCTCTCAGCACTTGTGTCTGTCACATCTGTGCTGTGACTGTTTTCTATGTGCCAATGATCACTCTGTCTTTGGCACACCGTCTCTTCAGTTCTACCCCCAGGGTGATCTGTAGTATTTTGGCCAATATGTATCTGCTCTTGCCTCCTGTACTGAACCCAATCATTTACAGCTTGAAGACCAAGGTCATTCGCAGGGCCATATTCCGGCTGCTGCAATTCAAGGGTTCAAGGGACTCCAGGGTGAGAGGCCTCAGGGGAAGCTGGAATTGAAGAGAACAGTTTTGTAGTATATAAGTTCTGGTTAACGGAGATGATTGGGCAGTGCCCTCCCCAGGCATTTTGGTTAGTGAGAAAGTACCAACTGGATTATAAAAGAGAAAAGGGATCATTTTTCCTTGCACTTATCAGAGATTTTTTAAAAATCACATTTCAAAGCCAATTTCAATGTGATTAAATATGTAAAATGGTGACATTTCAAACAATTACATGGATTTTTGTGTGCATATTAAAATAATAGTTTCATGACTGGTATGATGGCTCAGTCATTAAAGGCACCCAGCAGACAGCCTGAGGACCTGAGTTTGATTCCCGGCAGCCACATGGTTGAAGGAGAGAACTGTCTCCTGAAAGTTGTCCTCTGACTTCCATAAGTGTGTCATAGCACACATATGTCAGAATACTTGTACACTCATACATACAGTGCTGATAAACGAACAAAAGTTAGTGGCTGGGAACTGCAGGGGATGGTTCTCTGTGGTCACTGATGCCAGAGATAGTCATGTTGGCCTTTGATTCATTAAGGAATAGACTTGAGTGGGTCTGAGCTGAGTCACTGCTTCCAGCTTCTTCTATGTGTATGGCACAATGTTACCTCCGGCCTGGTTGGTCAGATAGAGACTTGTGCCTGCAAATAGAGAGAACTAGCTCATTTTTAAATTTTGTTAGTGAGAAAGGGAAATATTATAAGGGGGTTATTTGGGCTCGTGGAGAACATAGGGAGATTGATAGACATAATTCACAAGCAGAAAGGCTTATTTTAGCTCATAGTTTCAGATCTTTCCATGTATGGTTACTTGACCGTATGCTTATGTCTGTACATAGTGTTGAGGCAGTACATCACAGTGGAAACCTATGACAAAGAGTCGTTCATTTGATGATAGCCGTAAAGCAGAGGAAAATCAGGAAGAAGCAGGGACCAAAATGCAACCTGCAGAGACACGACTCCAGACATCAACTTCCTCCAAGTAGTGCCCATCTCATAAGTTTTCTAACTCATAGTAGCCCATTAAGATATAAACCTATAAATGTATTAATCTATTCATAAGCTCAGAGAGTTCATGATCCAATCGCCTCTCAAAGGCTCAGCTCTGAACTCTGTTACACTGGGGACCAAAAGTTTAACACATGAATTTGGGAGATATTT